CGTTGCGGATCACCTCCGGGCGGGCGTCCAGGCCCCGGTGCAGCTGGCTCAGGTCATAGTCCTGGGGGGGGAGCATGAGGAGGAGACACTTGAGGGATGGCCACAGGCACCATCATACTGGGACCCGGGACAGGAAGGACCATGGACTGTAAAACAGGGTGTGCAGGGAGCGGGGTGACCATGGGAAGGGTGCAGCAGGGACCCCGTAGAACCAAAGCATCGTTTGGCTTGGAAGAGATCTTTCAGATCATTGAGTGCAGCTGTTCCCCCAGCACTGCCAGGTCCCCACTGACCCGTGTCCCTCAGCACCACATCTCCACGGCTTGGAAACCCCTCCAGGGGTGGGGAGTTAAGCCCCTTTCCTCTTGTCCTGTCCCTTGTTCCTTGGGAGCAGAGCCTGACCCCCACCTGGCTCCAGGCTCCTGTCAGGAGCTGTGCAGAGCCAGAAGGTCTCCCCTGAGCCTCCTTTGCTCCAGGCTCAGCACCCCTAGCTCCCTCAACTGCTCCTTCCCACACTTGGGCTCTAGACCCTTCTCCAGCTTTGCTGCCTTTTGGCCACACTCCAGCCCCTCAAGGTCCTTCTTGGAGTGAGGGGCCCAAACCTGACCCCAGGACTGGAGGGCTAGCCTTCCCAGTGCAGGAGGACAATCCCTGCCCTGGTCCTTCTAGCCACACCAGTACTGACACAAGCCAGGATGCTAGTGGCCTTCTTGGCCACCTGGACAGACGGTGGCTTCTCTCAAACCAGCTATTGACAAAAGCTCCAGGTCCTTTTCCTCTGACCCCTTTCCAGCCACTCTTGGGCAAGTCCAACCCAGCAGTTGTCCCACCTGGTCCTCCTCACCACCACCCTCCTCATCGTAGTGGTAGACATTGTCCCGCATGTCGTCCTCGGGCGGCAGCAGTGGCTCCTTCACCACCTTCCTCCTCCTCACGAAGAGCAGCAGCAGGAGCAGCAGGACTGTGACCAGAGGGCACGGGAGTCAGTGCGGCAGAGCCGGGGCGACCCCATCCCCATTCCAGCCTGGGTACTCACTGAGCAGCGCCAGGATGCCCCCCAGGATGCCCAGGATGGCGGGGACGCCGAGGCTGTCGGCAATAAAGGCTCGTCGCTCGCAGTTCTGGGCGGGCCCCTCGCAGTTGCAGACCTGGGCTCTGACCTGCGTCGTCTGCCCCTTGCCCTGCGCGTCCGTCAGCTTCAGGAACAGGTTGTACTCCCCCGGCTCCAGCTCCTCCCCCAGCCGCAGCACCAGCGTGTCTGGGGGCACAGGGGGGACGGGCTCACGGATGGGTCCCACAGCACAGAGCCCGTGGGGGGTGTGGGGAGCCAAGGGGCCTGGATCTGGCTTTTGCTCGGCGTCTTAGCCGCCCCGCGCCAAGGGCGGGTGGCACCGACCTGGTTCCTTCACCCTGACGGTCCAGTTGCTCTTGGAGCCGAACTCCAGCGTGGCCGAGAAGGGGTGGGTGTTGGGGGGCAGGTCCTTGTCCACGATGCTCAGCATCTGCTCCTCGGGCTGCCGGCTGCAGATGTCGAAGCTGCGCGGCTCCACCGTCGGCCCGTTGTCGTTCACGTCCTGGAGCACCAGGAGCAGCGTCCCGGTGCCGGTGGCGTCCGGAGACCCTGTGGGATGGGGGGTCAGCGAT